TGTCCCTTGGTTCCACCCCCTACCCACCTCCGAGCACTGTCCTTGGTTCCACCCCCTATCCACCTCCGAGCACTGTCCCTTGGTTCCACCCCCTACCCACCTCCGAGCACTGTCCTTGGTTCCACCCCCTACCCACCTCCGAGCACTGTCCCTTGGTTCCACCCCCTACCCACCTCCGAACACTGTTCTTGGTTCCACCCCTACCCACCTCTGAGCACCGTCCCTTGGTTCTACCCTCTACCCACCTCCGAGCACTGTCCCTTGGTTCTACCCTCTACCCACCTCCGAGCACTGTCCCTTGGTTCCACCCCCTACCCACCTCCGAGCACTGTCCCTTGGTTCCACCCCCTACCCACCTCCGAGCACTGTCCCTTGGTTCCACCCCCTACCCACCTCCGAGTTCTGTCACTTGGTTCCCCTTTTAGAAAATACAGAACCAAGTATCATTTGTGGTGCTAACTGTAACAATAGATTCCCCACCAGCAACAATGGACTTCCCCAGCAACAATAGAAACCCTGCAACAAGATATTCCACCAGCAACAATAGACCCCGCCAGCAACGCTCTCTGAAGAGCCATCGGAATGCAGATCACTCTTCAGAGACCAGAGCGCCCTTAGAAATTCGTTTGAGAAAAAAAAATTCTATCCAGCTCCTTCCAATAGTTCCAGAGTCGATGCTGGTTCCTCAGCGCTGCGATTGCAAAATGAACGCCGACTCGATCCCACTAACGATTTAGAAAATTGAACGAACGTTCTTAAAAAAAAAATGTCAAATAAAATCCTGCATGGCCGCTTCAAACTTTCTCTGCGGTTGCCCCCCCCCACCTCTTTTATTTTCATTTCCGATAATTGGGAGGTCTGTATGGGGGCGTCTGATGAATGATAAAGCGCGGATCCGGTTGACATTTGTCCCTGTGACGGTTCTCCAGAGTCGGCTCCGGATCCTCAGCGCTGCAATTGCAAAACCAACGCCGACTCGATCCCAATAACGATTTAGAAAATCGAACGAACGTTCTTAAAAAGGAAAATTCCGAATAAATCCTGCATGGCCGCTTCAAACTTTCTCTGCGGCGGCCCCCCTTCTTTTTTTTTTTTTTTTGCATTTCCGATAATTGGGAGGTCTGCATGGGGGCGTCTGATGAATGATAAAGCGCGGATCCCGGTTGATATTTGTCCCTGTGACGGTTCTCCAGAGTCGGCTCCGGTTCCTCAGCGCATTTCAGTCTTCCATGAAAGGTTTGAGCAGCTGCGGTGCGTTGTTTAATGTAAATACGTTGTCACGCACCCTTCAAGTCATTGACAAGAGCAGATGATTAGCAGTATCCTCGATGCTTTCTGCATAATCCTACATTCTGCCGGGCCGCGCCGAGCCTTTATGTTGTCAGCGAGATGCCATCCCTTTTACCTGTTTTTTTTTTTGGAGCGAGCGTGGAAGTGATCATTGGACGGGGAAAAATAGCAACTGTTGCAGTTTGTTTTAGGTCACGTGACCTGCAGTAACCTATTGTATCATGAAGGCCTTCCTTTAAGGTGACATGGCCATGCAAACTCCATGCAGATGAGCCTGGGCAGGATTTAAACCGAAGGACACCGGGGTTGCAAGGCGGAATTGCTATTCGCTAAGACTAGGCTGTAGGTGAAGAGCTGAATGCAGGAATGAAATATATGTGACTGAGCCTTTCTTTGTTTTAGTGTCCATCCAGTCCTGAGATTCACACAGCTCTGCCACACAAGACAACCCTGACTAGCAGGGCTGGGGACCTGATCATACTTTGTTGCAGTTTCTCTTTCACTTACTGGTCCTCTCCTTATCCCCAGGTCATGGCTAGAGAGTGAAAGGAGGGCACAGTGGTAAAGGCACAGTGATCACTGCTCTCTCTCCTCCTATCAGCATTCTTCTTGCACTGCGGCACAACTGGTGGGCTCTATCTGCTGCTGCTGCTTTTTCATCTCTCAAGGTGAGCCCTGCTGTGCAGGCCGGCTTCTTGTGTTACTTCTCCCTGTGGGAGCTCTGCTGTACAGACTGGCTCCTCGTGCTGCTTCTCCCTCTCCCAGTGTGAGCTCTGCTGTAAAGACTGGCTCCTCGTGCTGCTTCTCCCTCTCTCAGTGTGAGCTCTGCTGTAAAGACTGGCTCCTCGTGCTGCTTCTCCCTCTCTCAGTGTGAGCTCTGCTGTCCAGACTGTCTCCTGCTGCTGCTTCTCCCTCCCTCTCCCAGTGTGAGCTTTGCTGTAAAGACTGGCTCCTCGTGCTGCTTCTCCCTCTCTCAATGTGAGCTCTGCTGTAAAGACTGGCTCCACGTGCTGCTTTTCCCTCTCCCAGTGTGAACTCTGCTGTAAAGACTGGCTCCTCATGCTGCTTCTCCCTCTCTCAGTGTGAGCTCTGCTGTAAAGACTGGCTCCTCGTGCTGCTTCTCCTTCTCTCAGTGGGAGCTCTGCTGTACAGACCGACTACTCGTGCTGCTGCTCCCTCTCCCAGTGTGAGCTCTGCTGTACGGACTGGCTCCTCGTGCTGCTTCTCCCTCTCCCAGTGTGAGCTCTGCGGTAAAGACTGGCTCCTCGTGCTGCTTCTCCCTCTCCCAGTGTGAGCTCTGCTGTACAGGCTGGCACCTGATGCTGCTGCTTCTCCCTCTCCCAGTGTGAGCTCTGCTGTACAGGCTGGCACCTGATGCTGCTGCTTCTCCCTCTCCCTCTCTAAAAAATGATCCCTGGCAATCCTGAAATGAAGATCCTTGTTGAGGCACTTCCTGTTATAGGGTGACAACGCCCTATCCGTGACTCCCAATTGTGCTCCCATGTTGTCACACCCCGCTTCTGATGGGTCAATACACGTTCTGCAATCGCAGTTTATTGTATCCATTTCTTTTTTCTTTTTTTCTTCTTTATTTCTATCTTTATTTTTATTTCTTTTTTGTTTTTTTATTTTTGTGTATTTTTCTGCATTGCGCAAGGAATCCCTTCACTCCTCTGACTTGGAATCACAGCCGAGAATTGTCCCCGAATGTCTCCCAGGCCGGGGAAATCTGCCTGGAGATTTGCAGTCCGCAGCGCCTATAGATCCGATGGAAGGATTAGAGCGGTCTAGTGTTACATCTACTTGTAGCCGGGGGGGGGGGGGGGAGTCATCAGGGCGTCGGGGGGGTCGATAGGCTTGTACCTGGATCAATGGACGCTCATCCCTCCGCCGGCGTTATGTGCTGGAGAAGCCACATTGCGGGACATCTCGCTGTCCGGGAGCCATTTATCTTCCAACGTCAAATTGCAATAATTAACCGTTATTGATCCTGAATTCAATTAACTTCATTAAGGCGAATCACGGTGAGGGGGGAGGGGCAGAGGATCCTGACAACCGCCCGTCTGATAGGCCGTGTATGGCTACAGGAGGATATAGATTACACACGCAGAAAATACATACCATGGCTCCGCGTCCACATACGTGATATGCCGCGTCCGCATACGAGATCCGCCGCGTCCGCATGCGTGATCTGTTGCGTCCACATACATGATCTGCCGCGTCCGCATACGTGATCTGTAGCGTCCGTGTACGTGATCTGTCGTGTCCGCATACGTGATCTGCCGCGTCCGCATACGTGATATGCCAGGTCCACATATGTGATCTGCCGCGTCCGCATACGTGATATTCCAGGTCCACATACATGATCTGCCGCGTCCGCATACGTGATATGCCAGGTCCACATACGTGATCTGCCGCATCCGCACACGTGATCTGACGCATATGTGATCTGCCGCGTCCGCATACGTGATCTGCCGTGTCCGCATACGTGATCTGCCGCATCCGCATACGTGATCTGCCGCGTCCGCATACGTGATCTGCTGCGTCCCCATAGGTGATCTGCCGCGTCTGCATACGTGATCTGCCGTGTCCGCATACGTGATATGCCAGGTCCGCATACGTGATCTGCCGCGTCCGCATACGTGATCTGCTGTGTCCGCATATGTGATATGTCAGGTCCACATACGTGATCTGCCGCGTCCACATGCGTGATCTGCCGCGTCCGCATACGTGATCTGCCGCGTCCGCATATGTGATCTGCCGCGTCCGCATACGTGATCCGCCGCGTCCCCATTCAGATTTTTAAAGACATACAGTATATTTGAAAATGTATTTTTAATAATATGTTCAACATGCAGCGTATGTGTGTATATATATATATATATATTTATTTTTTATTGAAATATATTTTAAAAATATTCTTCCCAAATATATTGACATATATTTGAAATACTACAATTTTGGCCGTATTCTATATATTTCAAAATATAATTCAATACATATAAACAGTGAAGGAAATGTGTATTTGCTCCCCGGCTGATGTTGAATGTTTGACCCTCACAAAGAAATGATCGGTCTACAAATCGAATGTTCGGTGTATTGTAACACTGAGAGACAGAATACAACAACAAATTCAGCAGAAATGTGTCTAACAAATGATGACGGATCTGCATGTTCATGAGGGAAATAAGGATTTGATCCCCTTCACAAAACATGACTTAGTACTTGGTGCGGATATAGTGAATGCGGGGTCCGAGGAGAGCGGATATAGTGAATGCGGGGTCCGGGGAGAGCGGATATAGTGAATGCGGGGTCCGAGGAGAGCGGATATAGTGAATGCGGGGTCCGGGGAGAGCGGATATAGTGAATGCGGGGTCCGAGGAGAGCGGATATAGTGAATGCGGGGTCCGGGGAAAGCAGATATAGTGAATGCGGGGTTCGGGAGAGCGGATATAGTGAATGCGGGGTCCGGGGAGAGGGCATATAGTGAATGCGGGGTCCGGGGAGAGCGGATATAGTGAATGCAGGGTCCGGGGAGAGCGGATATAGTGAATGCGGGGTCCGAGGAGAGCGGATATAGTGAATGCGGGGTCCGGGGAAAGCGGATATAGTGAATGCGGGTCCGGGGGAGAGCGGATATAGTGAATGCGGGGTCCGGGGAGAGGGGATATAGTGAATGCGGGGTCCGGGGGAGAGCGATATAGTGAATGCGGGGTCCAGGGAGACCGGATATAGTGAATGCAGGGTCCGGGGAGACCGGATATAGTGAATGCAGGGTCCGGGAGAGCAGATAAGTGAATGCAGGGTCCAGGGGGAGAGCGGATATAGTGAATGCAGGGTCCGGGGAGAGCGGATATAGTGAATGCGGGGTCCGGGGAGAGCGGATATAGTGAATGCAGGGTCCGGGGAGAGCGGATATAGTGAATGCAGGGTCCGGGGAGAGCGGATATAGTGAATGCCAGGGTCCGGGGAGACCGGATATAGTGAATGCAGGGTCCGGGGGAGACCGGATATAGTGAATGCGGCGTCCGGGGAGACCGGATATAGTGAATGCGGGGTCCGGGGAGAGCGGATATAGTGAATGCGGGGTCCGGGGAGAGCGGATATAGTGAATGCGGGGTCCGGGGAGAGCGGATATAGTGAATGCGGGGTCCGGGGAGAGCGGATATAGTGAATGCGGGGTCCGGGGAGACCGGATATAGTGAATGCGGAGTCCGGGGAGAGCGGATATAGTAAATGCGGAGTCCGGGGAGAGCGGATATAGTAAATGCGGGGTCCGGGGAGAGCGGATATAGTGAATGTGGGGTCTGGGAGAGCGGATATAGTGAATGTGGGGTCTGGGGAGAGCGGATATAGTGAATGTGGGGTCTGGGGAGAGCAGATATAGTGAATGCAGGGTCCGGGGAGAGCGGACATTGTGAACGCGGGGTCCGGGGAGAGTGGATATAGTGAATGCGGGGTTCCGGGGAGAGAGGATATAGTGAACGCGGGTCCGGGGAGACGAGATATAGTGAATGCGGGGTCCGGGGAGACGAGATATAGTGAATGCGGGGTCCGGGGAGACCAGATATAGTGAATGCGGGGTCCGGGGAGAGCGGATATATAGTGAATGCAGGGTCCGGGGAGAACGGATATAGTGAATGCAGGGTCCGGGGAGACCAGATATAGTGAATGCGGGGTCCGGGGAGAACGGATATAGTGAATGCAGGGTCCGGGGAGACCAGATATAGTGAATGCAGGGTCCGGGGAGACCAGATATAGTGAATGCGGGGTCTGGGGAGAGCAGATATAGTGAATGCAGGGTCCGGGGAGACCAGATATAGTGAATGCAGGGTCCCGGGTTTAGTAACACTTTAAGGGAATTCATTTAGCCGGGGTTCACACCAATGCGGTGCGGGAAATGTTGCGTATCCTGTACATTTCCCACACCTTGCAATCACATCACATTCCCGTGATCTAGTGCGGTTGTCAATAATAAATTGACACCCGTAAACAGATTGCAAAAGCAACACTCATACGATCCAATTCTGGCGCGGATTTAAAAAAAGAGTCCTGCACGTTTTTGGTGCTGAATGCGATGCGATTTGAGCCATACAAAGTTTATCAAATCGCACCGCAAAGACATTTACATGTAATTCACACGGATGTGGTGCGATTCCTGCGCAAATTCCATGCGCTGTGCCGCACCGCATAGTGTGAACCGGCTGTCAATCCATTGACCTTATCTCACCAGTCCTTCAGCAGGGATGCTAGCCATAAAATCCCATAGACTAGTAGAATCTACAGATCTCTGTTTGCAGTCAGCAAGCATGTAAAAATGGCAAAGCTTGCATCAAAAAATTGCTTTCGGGGTGAACAACGTGGTAGTAAAACCCAATCGATAAAGACGCTGTGAAGAGTACGACCCAAATCTGGAGGCTACACACAGTACCGGCGTCTACAGTAATCCTGTATGGCAGAGCAGAGAACGACGGGCCGCAGCCTCTCGCCTTTGTGACAAAAGCGCAGACAGACTCTTGTGGGTGGGAAGCAATTTGTGCCGTAATAGGCCGCAGTAAAAGCGTTATGATAGACCAAAGCCCGACAAGCCCCGTCTTTAATCACAAAGGAGAATCGCCCAGGAAGTGCCGTGTCGCTCCCCGTGGAGCCGCTACCGCCTGATATATTTCCTCCTCGAGAATTATCGGCGGCAGGTTGAGATGTTAACCCTTGCTTGTCTACCCAGGGCCGAGGATGTCTAAAAAAAGACATAAGGATGCTTAAAAAGCAAAGCTTTAAAAAAATGCCATCGACTCAAATTGAAGATGCGATGAAAAAATACAGAAGAGTTGAAAACCACATATCAGAACCATTAGTGGTTCCTGAGGTATGGGCAATGGATGTTATAGGCAAGGCTTCTCACCTGGATGTTAGTTAGCCCATCATCTTAGAAGACCAGTAGAAAGGGGGAATCATGGGCTGGGGTTGAGATGGGCTTCTCAATGTAGCTATCTTTATCTCTGTCTCTCCGACTTTCACCGCATATCAAAACCATTAGTGGTTGCAGAGATGTAGGCAACTCATGGTAAAGGTAGGCTTCCCACCTGGATGTTAGCCCATCACCTTAGAAGCCCAGTAGAAAGGGGATATCATGCACTGGGGTTGAGATGGGCCTCTCAATGTAGCTATCTTTATCTATGGCTCTCCGACTTTCACCGCATATCAAAACCATTAGTGGTTGCAGAGATGTAGGCAACTGATGGTAAAGGTAGGCTTCCCACCTGGATGTTAGTTAGCCCATCACCTTAGAAGCCCAGTAGAAAGGGGATATCATGGACTGGGGTTGACTTTTGAGTTGGGCTTCTCAATGTAGCTATCTTTATCTCTGGGTTTCCAACTTTCACCGCATATCAAAACCATTAGTGATTGCAGAGATGTAGGCAACTGATGGTAAAGGTAGGCTTCCCACCTGGATGTTAGTTAGCCCATCATCTTAGAAGACCAGTAGAAAGGGGGAATCATGGGCTGGGGTTGAGATGGGCTTCTCAATGTAGCTATCTTTATCTCTGGCTCTCCGACTTTCACCGCATATCAAAACCATTAGTGGGTTGCAGAGATGTAGGCAACTGATGGTAAAGGTAGGCTTCCCACCTGGATGTTAGTTAGCCCATCACCTTAGAAGCCCAGTAGAAAGGGGATATCATGGACTGGGGTTGAGATGGGCTTCTCATTGTAGCTATCATTATCTCTGGCTCTTTCCGACTTTCACTGCATATCAAAACCATTAGTGGTTGCAGAGATGTAGGCAACTGATGGTAAAGGTAGGATTCTCACCTGGATGTTAGTTAGCCTATCATCTTAGAAGACCAGTAGAAAGGGGGATATCATGGGCTTGGGGTTAAGTTTGACTTTTACAGGAAACGTTGGGATCTACCTATATTATTAACTGCCTGGATCTCTGAATTTAAAGGAAGAGTAGAGATAGGCTTGTAAATTTAGCTATATTTATCTCTGGCTGTCCGACTTTCACCGCATATCAGAACCATTAATGGTTGCAGAGATGTAGGCAACTCATGGTAAAGGTAGGCTTCCCACCTGGATGTTAGTTAGCCCATCACCTTAGAAGACCAGTAGAAAGGGGGATATCATGGGCTGTGGTTAAGTTTGATTTTTACAGGAAACGTTGGCTTATCCGATTTTTAGCTATCATTATTCTCTCTGGCTCTCCGACTTTTACCCACATATGAAAACCATTAGTGGTTCCAGAGATCTAGGCAACTGATGTTATATTCAAGGCTTCCGTGCCTGGATGTTAGTTAGCCCATCACCTTAGAAAACCACTAGGAAGGGCCTGAGAGGTATCAGGCATTGGGGTTAGGTGTGACTATTACAGGAAAAGGTGGGATCTGCCATTAACTTTACCTGCCTGGATCTCCAGTTTTACAGGAAGAGCTGAGATGGGCTTATCGCTTTAGCTATTGTCATCTCTAGATCTCTGACTGACTGAACCATTAGTGGTTGCAGAGTCGAGATGGGCATTGCAACATTTATCAATTTAGCTATCATTATCTCTGGCTCTCCGACTTTTACCGCTCATCAGCAAAACCATTAGTGTCATAATTTCCGGAGATCTAGGTAACTGATGGTAAATGCAAGGCTTCCCTTCCCTGGATGTTAGTTAGCCCATCACCTTAGAAGACCACTAGGAAGTGCCAGGCATTGGGGTTAAGTGTGACTATTACAGGAAAAACTGGGATCTGCCTTTAACTTTACCTGCCTGGATCTCCAGTTTTACAGGAAGAGTTGAGATGGGCTTATCGCTTTAGCTATTGTCATCTCTAGATCTCTGACTTTCACCGCATAGCAGAGCCATTAGTGGTTTGTGGAGATATAAGCAACTGATGTTATATGCAAGGCTTCCCAGCCTAGATGTTAGTTAGTCCATCACTTTAGTAGAAAGGCCTAAGGAGTATCGGGTGGTGTTGGGCTTAAGTGTGACAATTACAGGAAAAGTTGGGATCTACCTTTAATTTTAACTACCTGGATATCTGATTTTACACGAAGAGTCATGTTGGGCTTATCACTTTAGCTGTCGTTATCTCTAGATCTTCCACTTTGTTGAGATTTCCCTAAAACGTAAGATGCTGATATATCTGAACTTGCTAATATATTTTTTCATCATATGCTTAGTTGAGTTGCCTAGGTTTGTAACACATTGACCTTTAAAGGAACTTGCAGCACAAATTATGAAAATATATCAAATTCAGCACTGATGGTATTGCTGCGGTTAAGTGGCTAGCTTACATGTCTTGCAATGCTGGGTCACAGGGTTTCTTCCCACCAAGGACCCTCTCTGCTTGGGATTTGTAGGTTCTTCCTGGGTTTGTTTTCCAACAAAGACCTTCTCTGCTTGAGCTATGTAGGTTTTCCTGGGTTTTTTTTCCCACCAAGGAATTTATCTGCTTCGGTTTGTAATTTCTCCCTGGGTTTGTTTACCACCAAGTATCCCCTCTGCTTGGACTTTGTAGGTTTTCCCTGGGTTTGTTTTCCACCAAGGGTCCTCTCTGCATGTACTTTGTAGGTTCTCCTTGGATTGTTTCCCACCAAGGACCTTCTCTGCTTGGGCTATGTAGGTTTTCCTGGGATTGTTTCCCACCAAGCAATTTCTCTGCTTTGGTTTATTTCCCACCAAGGATCCCTACTGCTTGGGCTTTGTAGATTCTCCCTAGGTTTGTTTCCCACCAAGTACCCTCTCTGCTTGGGCTTTGTAGGTTCTCCCTAGGTTTGTTTCCCACCAAGTACCCTCTCTGCTTGGGCCTTGTAGGTTCTCCCTGTATTTGTTTTCCACCAAAGATGCCATCGGCTTGGACTGCCTGGGCTTTGTAGGTTCTCGATAGGTTTGTATCCCACCAACGACCCTCTCTGCTCGGGCATTGTAGGTTCTCCCTGTATTTGTGTCCCACCAACAACTCTCTGCTTGGGCCTTGTAGGTTCTCCCTGTGTTTGATTTCCACCAAGGATCCCCTCTACTTGGACTGCATGGGCTTTGTAGGTTCTCCTTAGGATTGATTCCCACCAACGACCCTCTCTGCTTGGGCCTTGTAGATTCTCCCTGTGTTTGTCTTCCACCAAGGACCCTCTCCTCCAGTGCCTTGTAGATTCTCCCTGTGTTTGTCTTCCACCAAGGACCCTCTCTGCCTAGGCTTTGTAGGTTCTCCTAGGTTTGTTTCCACCAAGGACCCTCTCTGCCTGGGCTTTGTAGGTTCTCCTAGGTTTGTTTCCATCAAGGACCCTCTCTGCCTGGGCTTTGGGCTTTGTAGGTTCTCCTAGGTTTGTTTCCACAAAGGACCCTCTCTGCCTGGGCTTTGTAGGTTCTCCTAGGTTTGTTTCCACAAAGGACCCTCTCTGCCTGGGCTTTGTAGGTTCTCCTAGGTTTGTTTCCACAAAGGACCCTCTCTGCCTGGGCTTTGTAGGTTTTCCTAGGTTTGTTTCCACTAAGGACTCTCTCTGACTGGGCTTTTAGGTTCTCTCTGTGCATAGCTATGCTCTGCCTCTCTCTAACAGTTATACTAGTAGGTAAAATAAAACCTACACTGAGGAATATTTATACTGTGACTGCTGAGTTCTCCTGCAAATGATAGACACCTGGATGCCATGCATATTCAACAGACTTAGTACCTTTTACGTCACTAAACAGAAACACATTTGAAGATCAGATATTTGGACTTCACCTACTGCAAAATTATTCTTGGTCAGTTTCCAGAAAAGTATCTAAAGCACTGGGCAGCCATGTAGTTAGCAAGGGAGTCAGCAATGGCAGGTCGGGTCTCCGGCAATTGACCACCTGCCAAGTTCCAGTGCATCCCAACAGCAAGGATATTTGATTGTAAGCTCCTTTGTTATAAGGGTCTGACGTAGTGTCAGCTCTGTATGAATGGAAAGAGAAAATTAATTTATGTAGAACAAAAGGTTACTATGTGTTAAAAAAAAAAAAAGGCCTCACTGCTTTATTTTTCAGATATCACATGTAATACCTTAATACAGTGTTTCTCAACCTTTTTTCAGTCAAGGCACCCTTTAAAATTATGGATAGCCTTGAGGCACCCTTTAAAATTATGGACAGCCTTGAGGCACCCTTTAAAATTATGGACAATGAGGCACCCATTGTGGACAACCCGAGGCACCCTTTAAAATTGTGGACAGCCTTGAGGCACCCTTTAAAATTGTGGACAGCCTCGAGGCACCCTTTAAAATATGGGCATGGACTTTAAAATTAGTCCTCGAGGCACCCTTTAAAATTATGCCTGGCAACCCTTTAAAATTACAGCATCCTTGAGGCACCCTTTAAAATTGATGGACAGCCTTGAGGCACCCTTTAAAATTATGGACAGCCTTGAGGCACCCTTTAAAATTATGGACAGCCTTGAGGCACCCTTTAAAATTATGGGGCCTCAGCCTTTGAGGCACCCTTTAAAATTGTGGACAGCCTCGAGGCACACCTTTAAAATTGTGGACAGCCTCGAGACACCCTTTAAAATTATGGACAGCCTTGAGACACCCTTTAAAATTATGGACAGCCTTGAGGCACCCTTTAAAATTATGGACAGCCTTGAGGCACCCTTTAAAATTATGGACAGCCTTCGAGGCACCCTTTAAAATTGTGTACAGTCTCGAGGCAGCCTTTAAAATTGTGGACAGCCTCAAGGCACCTTTAAAATTATGGACAGCCTTGAGGCACCCTTTAAAATTATGGACAGCCTTTGAGCACCCTTTAAAATATGGACAGTCTCGAGGCACCCCATTCTAAAATGTGAAAAGCTATTCTAATAGTTTATATAACGCAGCAACACCCACACATGTGGACACCCAACATTAGAGGTGATTTATTCTTCCAAAGAAAATACACTTTTTCACACTGGTACTGACTAGTATTCCAAGTGTTTCTCTTCTCCCTCAGTTTTTCTCCATCACTGAGCTAATGTGACCCCAGAACTGATGGAGAGGGGCGGGGGAGGGTCAAACTAGGATGCTGTGCAGGCAGCTGACATCCTCCTTATCAACTGATGATATCATTGGTTGTCAGGATGCCGGCGGCTAGAAGGTCGTAATGGCGCACAATGAAAACCTGTGGCTTTGTGCAGCGAAATGGTAGACTTGGCTTGTATACAAGTTTTGGGAAATTTTTAGACATTTTGCCAAGGCACCCCTGAGGAAGCCTCAAGGCACCCCCAGAGTGCCTGGGCACCCTGGTTGAGAAAGGCTGCCTTAATACATTTACTCAACAATACCCCCTCTGTTCCATCTCTTTCCTGCTTTGGAACACAATCTTGCTTGAGGGCCGCTGTCAAACGAGAAGACCATTCCGCAACCCATACTGGGGATTATTTACTACAACTGGAGAGTGAAAAGTCTGCGTAGGAGCCAATCAGCTTCCAGGTTTTATTGTCAAAGCTTAAGGGCTCATGCACACGGGGCGTTTGGAAAACTCTTCTGAACGATAAAAACGATTGTTTCCTTATCACTGAACTTTTTTGATTTTCTCGCTGGTTGTTTCTTTGTCACTGAACTTTTTGATTTTTTTCACTGGAAGTTGATTTCAGTATATGGTAGATTTAGATAAGTGACGGTATATTTAGAGTCACATTTATCATTTAGTTTATTATCATATAATCCAAAAACAATAATATGCGGGAAAAAAAAAATTAAAAAAAAATATATATATATATATATATATATATATATATATAATATATAAATAATTTTTAAATTTTTTTTTTCACACGTTATTGTTTTTGGATAATTATGTTTTATTATATTTGCTGTTTTCTATGATTAGTTTGGCACTGTTCAGTGTGTGCGCCGCTTTTCACATGTGTGGGTTTTAAAACGATTGTTGGATTTATTTATATAGTGGCAGCGAGGGATGTTTAATACCAATATTTCATATATGATTTTATTTATTTCATTTAATTCATTTTTTACATCTAGCACGATTTGGTGTTTTTCACTGTTTTACACTGGGTTTTGATAGAAACTGACCGCTGGAAAACGTAGGTTAAAAAACGTTTTTGCAAACGCGTTTGCGTTTAGAAGATGTTTTTAAAAGATAACCTCGGGAGACCTTCAAAAATGTCCAGAATGCACTGAAAAATGGTAAAAAAAAAAATAACTATTTTAGACATTTTTGAGAGAAATAGAGAGAGCAGAAGCAGAGAGAGCAGTATGTGTTGAGATCACCTTTCTTTTCTGGTTGTATTCACTATGGATCCCATCATGAGCATAATGCGGCGCGTTCTACCATTTTTTTTTCCTTCACGGGAAACCTGGAACTGACTGCGCTGGTGTACCGGGTCCATTTGAATACATGGAAAACGCTTTGCATGCATTTCTGATGATGAAAAAAGGCTCCGGACAGCATCTGGATATGGAACAGTTAAAAAAAAAAAAACGCTTCTAAATATAAACGCAGTTAACCGCGTTTGCAAGCGTTTTGCGTTTGAAACGCTCGTAAAATCTACTCCTGAACGCGAGTTTGGTGCGTTCAAAAAAAAAGACTGTAAACTCAACTACCTGTAAACGATGATGTGTACGCGGACACATAGGAGAACATTAGGGAGGGTTCAGGGGCTGCTGAAAAAAAATACAGAACAGCTCCTGAATGTGAGTTTATCAGCTGCAGTGTACATGGACCCTTAGGGCTATATATATATATATCCTAGATTGTAAGCTCCCAGGATCAGGGCCCTCCTATCCCTCTTGTATTGAACTGTATTGTTGCTGTATTGTCTCCCGTTATATTGTAAAGTGCTGAGCAAACTGTTGCGCCGCTATATAAATCCTGTAATAATATATAATAATAATATATAAATCCTGTATAATAATAATATATAAATCCTGTATAATAATAATATAAATCCTGTATAATAATAATAATAATAATATAAATCCTGTATATAATAATATAATAATAATATATAAATCCTGTATAAATAATAATAATAATAATAAGTATAAATCCTGTATAATAATAATAATAATAATAATATAAATCTGTATAATAATAATAATATAAATGTATAATAATAATAATAATATAATATAAATAATAATAATAATATAATAATAATAATAATAATAATATAAATCCTGTATATAATAATAATAATAATATAAATCCTGTATAATATAATAATAATAATAATATAAATCCTAATAATAATAATAATAATATAAAATAATAATAATAATATATATATATATATATATATATATATATATAATAAGCAATATATATATATATATATATATGTAATATGTATATATATATATTTAGGGGTAAGGGGATCTTCAATTCCACTGGAAATGGTGAGGTCGGGAAGATGGCCTTGCAATTTAGTATAAGAGTTGTCACGTTTTTTAAATTCTTCATAAATGGAGTTTTAGAAAAGTGCAGAAACTTTTTGAAGACCCCGTGTGTCTATATATTTATTTTTATTTTATATATATATTTCAAGGGGAATGGATTACACGCCGACTGAGATAATTTATCATTAAGATATATCTGCGTGCTCAAAGCAAAACTTCATTCAAAATGAACGATGCTGTATATCTTTAATAAAGATCACATGACCAAAGGTCTAATCTCTTTTGGTCATGTGACCTGTACTGGAGGGAGAAGACAAGTATTTTCTCCAGGACAGGTGAAGTATTTCAGCCAGTCTATTCCTCTTGATTTATCCATCCCAGCAAGACACAGCTATAGGCTGACATTTAAATACGGTTCTGCTTTAATTTGCAATGTATCTTGCAAAATCTTGTGTCACATGAGAAATGTGAGAGGGACAGACTAAAATAATATAATAATTAAAATAAAAAAGCAAATATGTTATTTCTTTTTTTTCCCTTTAATGTAGTAAAACATGGGATGTACCATAAAATTAAAAATAATAACAATAATTGAATAATAAACAATAACTAACATTATTAGTAGTAATAATATTAATAATAATAAACAAATAATACAAAATGCCTAAATAAATAATAATAAACAATCAAATAATACAAAATGCCTAATTAATTAAATAATAATGTAGTAAAACATGGGATTTACCATAAAATTAAAAATAACAATAACTGAATAATAAACAATAACTAAAATGATTATTTATTATTAATATTAATAATATTAATATTATTATTATTAATACTACTACTACTACTAACTAATAATAATAATGAACAATCAAATAATACAAAATGCCTAATAATATAATAATAAACAATCAAATAATACAAAATGCCTAATTAAATAATAATAAAACAATCAAATAACACAAAATGCCTAATTAATTAAATAATAATGTAGTAAAACATGGGATTTACTATAAAATTAAAAATAACAATAACTGAATAATACACAATTACTAAAATTATTATTTATTATTAATATTATTAATAATATTATTATTAATATAATAATAATAATAATAATAAAACAAAAATAATAATACTAATTAATAATAAAACAATCAAATAATACAAAATGCCTAATTAAATAATAATAAACAATCAAATAATACAAAATGCCTAATTAATTAAATAATAATGTAGTAAAACATGGGAATTACCATAAAATTAAAAATAACAATAACTGAATAATAAACAATAGCTAAAATTATTATTAATATTAATAATATTATTACTAATAATAATACTACTAATAATAATAAACAATCAAATAATACAAAATGCCTAATTAATTAAATAATAATAATTAAAAAATAATATTGTCACATAGAAATGATAGAAGATGGTAGGGTAAAGATACTTATTACATGTGCTTTTGTGCATTAACACTTACCAAAATGCATCAATACATTATTATTATACAGGATTTATATTGCGCCAACAGTTTGCGCAGCGCTTTACAAAATGAAGGCAGACATGACAGTTACAATACAATTTGGTACAAGAGGAAACAGAGGGCCCTGGTCCTTAGAGCTTACAATGCATTTAGATACACAGAAATACTAAATGTAAATTCCAACAGGATACACCTGAAAAACATTTTTTTTTTTTTTTTTTTCCTTTAATGCAAAAGCACAACTGGGTCCATACAAGCAGGACAAGCTGATGTCGCAGAAATGGGCTCATCGCTGTTTTTACAAATGAGGTTACTTTGTTCCAAAGGATGCCATTGGTAATTCTTTCTGTGATCTGTGTTGGGGATTTTAGCTCTGCATTGTGTAGGTTTCATTATTTGCTTCATAGCATTTTTGTACAATTTGGAAACAGAACTGACCTATTAATATCTACCGATAAGTAGCTGTTTTTTTTTTTTTTTTTTTTTTTTTTTTTTTGTAACTTGTCCATCTGACTCCGTGTCAGTTGCATTACCACAAAATGACTGTACATCCTTTCCCAATGCAAGGAAACTCGACTCCCCGCTGTGATACACAAGCATAAGTGACACAAATGGAAGGTTTTTAAAACTGCAGCCAAAAGGCCATATACAAGAGAGGTACACATACTGGGCATATGCCATGAAATGTCACTAAATGTTAAGAGGAACACAAAAAAAGAAAAAAGAATAGAAAAGCCATTGGATTATAGCTTCATGCATATGCTCTTAGATTTTAATATTTTTTTTCATTTTGCTTTAGTACTTTATTAAAAAAAGGGGGGAAATTGATAGAGATATTTTTCTTTTTTTTTTTTTGATCTTTAATATATACATATACGGCTATAAAAACCTATATATATTTATGGGTATATTTATGGGTTTGATGTTTATATATAAAAATTATTTATTTTTCTTACTATATATATAGTAAGAATTATTGTTAATTTATATAATATTTTTTTTTTTTTTTTTTTTATTTTATTTTTTTTATTTATTTTTTTATAATCTTTAATATATACATTATATGCTATAAAAACCTATATATATTTTATTTTATTTTGATTTTATATATAAAAAAAAAATTATTTATTTTTCTTACTATATATATATAAGAATTATTGTGTTATTTTATAGAGATATTTATTTATTTTTTTTTTTTTTTTTTTTTTTCTTATTTTTTCTTTTTTTTTTTTGATTTTTTATATATACATATACGGCTATATTAAAAAAATATATATATATATAATGGGTATTTATAATATTTGATGTTTTATAAAATATTTATAAAATATTTATTTTTTATTATTATTATTATTTATTTATTTATAGAATATTATTAAATGTTTTTTTTTTTTTTAATATTAAAATTAGTATTATTTTTTATAAATTTAATTTATTTTTTATTTCTTTTTTTTTTGATTATATATATACATATATGGCTATAAAATTATATATATTTTGTATATTTATGGGTTTATGTTTATATATAAAAAAAAATAATTTTTTTATTAAATATATAATATATTAGTTAATTATAAATTTTTTTTTAGAGATTTTTTTTTAATTTTTTTTTTTTTTTTTCTTTTTTTTTTGATCTTTAATATATACATATACGGCTATAAAAACCTATATATATTTATACAGGTATATTTATGGGTTTGATGTTTAGTATATAAAAAAATTATTTTTTTTTTATATATATATATATAGTAAGAATTATTGTGTAATTTATAGAGATATTTTTCTTTTTTTTTTTTTTTTTATTTTTTTTTTTTTTTTTTGATTTTAATATATACATATACGGCTATAAAAATATTATTATAATAATATTTATATATTTATTTAATTTGATTTTATTTTATATATAAAAAATATTTATTTTTAATTACTATATATATATTTAATATTATTGTGTAATTTATAAAGATATTTTTTCTTTATTTTTTTTTTTTGATCTTTAATATATACATATATACAGCTATAAAAAATAAATAAAAATATATATATATATATATATATATATATATATATATATATAATATATTATTTTTTGAAAAAGTCATTACGAGTGACGGTCCATGTAATTGCCAAGGGACGGATACGACTGAAAAGATATATATTTATATATAAAATAAAAAATGCTGGATTCTGGAACCTAATTCCTTTAAAATGAAAAACTGAAATTTCAGTAAAAATTATGCACAAATTATATTAAAAGCATTAAAATTATTACCATATACCTTATTTATTACAGGTACTTGTATAGTGCCATCAATTTGCGCAGCTCTTTACATATATTATTATTATTATTATTATACAGGATTTATATCCCGCCAACAGTTTGTGCAGCACTTTACAACATAAGGTCAGACAGTACAAATACAATACATTTCAGTACAGAAGGAATATGAGGGCCCAGCTCGTGGAGCAAACAATCAAAAGGATATACCGTATATATATATATATATATATATATATATATATATATATATATATATAGTAAGAATTATTGTGTAATTTATAGAGATATTTTTCTTTCTTTATTTCTTTTTCTTTTCTTTTTTTTTTTGATCTTTAATATATACATTTTTTTTCCCAATATTATTGCATTAAGACAACTGGTATATATACTCACATTTCTACCTTAAAAAAAAAATACATATATTTATCTTTTTTTTTTTTTTTTTCTTCCAATATATATTTTCTGCATTAAGATAACCGGGCATGACAATGTGGCATCTTTTTGGGCAGTACATGTGACCCTCTCATGCTTTCATTGCTTGCATTTTAAAAGCACAGTTTAAATGAGGCCAGCAAAACAAAAAAAAAAAAAGTATTTCTACTTGTATTTTTAAAGGTAGAAATGTGAGTATATATACCAGTTGTCTTAATGCAATAATATTAAAAAAATGTATATATTAAAGATCAAAGCCGTATATGCATATATTAAAGATCAAAAAAAAAAGAAAAAAAAAAAAAAAAAAAAATATCTCTATAAATTACAACAATAATTCTTACTCTCTCTTTTCTCTCTATATATATATATATTTACGGGGGTTTGATGTTTAGTATATAAAAATGATTTATTTTTTTTACTATATATATAGTAATAATTATTGTGTAATTTATAGAGATATTTTTTTTTTTTTTTTCTTTTTTCTTTTTTTTTTTTGATCTTTAATATATACATATACGGCTATAAAAACCTATATATATTTACGGGTATATTTACGGGTTTGATGTTTAGCATATGAAAATTATTTATTTTTCTTACTATACATATAGTTAGAATTATTGTGTAATTTATAGAGATATTTTTTTTCTTTTTTTTCCTTTTTCTTTTTTTTTTTTTGATCTTTAATATATACATATACGGCTATAAAAACCTATATATATTTATGGGTATATTTACGGGTTTGATGTTTTAGTATATAAAAATTATTTATTTTTCTTACTATATATATAGTAAGAATTATTGTGTAATTTATAGAGATATTTTACTTTCTTTTTTTTTTTATCTTTAATAATATATACATATACGGCTATAAAAACCTATATATATTTACGGGTATATTTACGGGTTTGATGTTTAGTATATAAAAATGATTTATTTTTCTTACTATATATATATAGTAAGAATTATTGTGTAATTTATAGAGATATTTTTCTTTCTTTTTTTCTTTTTCTCTCTTTTTTTTATCTTTAATATATGCATATACGGCTATAAAAACCTATATATATTTACGGGTTTGATGTTTAGTATATATAAAAATGATTTTTATTTTTTCTTACTATATATATTTAGTAAGAATTATTGTGTAATTTATAGAGATATTTTTTTTTTTTTTTTTTTATTTTTTTTTCAAATATATATAATACGGCTATAAAAACCTTATATATTTTTTTTGATGTTTAGTATATAAAAATTATTTATTTTTCTTACTATATATATAGTAAGAATTATTGTGTAATTTATAGAGAAATTTTTCTTTCTTTTTTCTTTCTTTTTTTTTGATCTTTAATAATATATACATATACGGCTATAAAAAAAAAATTATATATATATATATATATATATATATATATATGTATGTATGAAAAAGTCGCTTACGAGTGACGGTCCATGCAATTGCCAAGGGACGGATACGACTGAATGGATATATATATATATATATATATATATATACATACATATAAATATATATAAAATATTTATATATATATAAAATATTTATTTTGCTGGATTCTGGAACCTAATTCCTTGGGTGATGAAAAACTGAAATTTCAGTAAAAAAAAAAAATGCACAAAAGCATTACAATTATTACCATACAGATAATAACCTTTTTTTTCACATAAAAGAAAGAAAGTCATTACCCAGAATTCAATGCAAGTCAGCCCATCTGGGGTGCCAGGGGTTAAAGAAAAATGAATCAGCCGTACGAGAACTGCACCAACATTACTTAAAATAAAAAGTGATTATAAGCTTTTAAGCCATTTTCTTTATACACTCAAGACACATACAAAAAACTAAATCATTTTTTAATTTATTGTAATTGATGTAAATTTCTTTCATTGTAGGAATTATATTGATAGTTCTCTACTTTATGTTTATTAAAGGTTCAGCATCAGAAATGTAATGAGTAAAAAAAAAAAAAAAAAATGTGTGCTTAATTTAAATTGTGAAGCTGTCTGTCAAGAAATGCATTAGGGGTAGAAAAAGCATGAGACATATTAATTGACAGACAGGAACTGCTGTCTCTAAGGTTGATACAAGTAATTTATTACTTTAGAAATGAATGCCACCTCTAGAATGTGCTTCATTAATTTCAAATTTAGTTTTAATTTCAAGCTGTTGCCCCTTGAGAAGAATAAGGTGGCAAATTATGTTTGAAGAGTTTTTTTTTTTTTTTTTTTTTTATATCACTCCTTTAGCTATTTTTCTCGGAGAAGAAAACGCCATATTTTATTTATTATTAAATGTAAATGCGCCGCCATTTTCTTATATGTAACTCGTTATGAATTTTATTTAACTTTTATTAAGGTCACTGCCGTCTCTAATTCTTTTTTTTTTTTTTTCCTTTGTAGCCTACGTGTCTGATGAACTGAAGGCAGCCGCACTTGTTGATGAAGATGGCGAGGTGGAGGACTCCGTGGTGGACGGAGAACCGTCGGCAAAGTATGCATGTGCGGAAAAGTCTTCTCCGGGTTACCAGCACTCCCCGGCTGGTGAATTTTCCAGCCACGAGATGGACAGCGAGTCTCACGTCAGCGAGAGTAGCGACCGCATGGCGGACTTTGAGAGCGGCTCCATCAAAAACGAGGAGGAAACCAAGGAGCTGTTGGCCCCTTTAGAGGATTCCGGCGTGTCGGACAGTTTGGAGCAGATGAAAGCTGTCTACAATAATTTCCTCTCCAATTCTTACTGGTCAAACCTCAGTTTAAACCTCCACCAGTCCACGCCAGAGAAAAACAACGCCAGTAGCAGCAGCAGCAGCAGTAGCAGCAGCAGTTGCGGAAGTGGAAGCTTTGACTGGCACCAGACGGCCATGGCGAAAACTCTCCAACAAGTATCCCAAAGCAGAGCGCTCCCCGAGCCAAGCCTCTTCAGTACCGTCCAGTTGTACAGGCAGAGCAGCAAACTCTACGGTTCAATTTTTACGGGAGCCAGTAAGTTCCGTTGCAAAGACTGTAGCGCCGCCTACGATACGTTGGTTGAGTTAACCGTTCACATGAACGAAACCGGACACTATAGAGACGACAACCACGAAACTGATAACAACAACCCCAAGCGTTGGTCGAAACCTCGTAAACGGTCATTACTTGAAATGGAAGGGAAGGAAGATGCCCAAAAAGTTTTGAAGTGTATGTACTGCGGGCATTCTTTCGAATCCCTTCAGGACCTCAGCGTTCACATGATCAAAACAAAACATTACCAAAAAGTGCCTCTTAAAGAACCTGTTACTCCCGTAGCAGCAAAAATTATTCCAGCTTCTAGAAAAAAACTGTCTCTAGAACTCGAACTTCCAAGTTCTCCTGACTCGACGGGGGGGACGACAAAAGCAACAATTTCAGATTCCAACGATGCTTTGCAAAAGAATTCAAACCCGTATATAACACCAAATAACCGGTACGGCCACCAGAACGGAGCCAGCTATGCTTGGCATTTCGAAGCTAGGAAATCTCAGATTCTCAAATGCATGGAATGTGGTAGCTCCCATGACACCCTACAAGAACTTACTGGCCACATGATGGTCACGGGACATTTTATAAAAGTGACAAACTCTGCCCTTAAGAAAGGAAAGCCTGTCATTGAATCCCCAATTACCCCAAACTCAGTTATGGACGAGAAGGTCCAATCTGTGCCGCTGGCCGCCACCACTTTTACACCCCCCACCAATAACGGTGCCTCTCTGTCACCAAAACTGGCCGTAGACATCAAAAAAGAGGTCGACAAAGCCATCACTGATGACAAAATCAAGGAGAAAGAAAAGGCAAGCGAGGATGAGGAAAAGTTTGACGTCACTTCTAAATACCATTACCTAACAGAAAATGATTTGGAAGAGAGCCCTAAGGGGGGGTTAGACATCCTTAAATCTTTAGAAAACACAGTGACTTCCGCTATAAACAAAGCTCAGAATGGCACACCGAGCTGGGGAGGTTACCCAAGCATCCACGCGGCTTACCAACTTCCCAACATGATGAAGTTATCATTAGGTTCCTCAGGAAAAGGTACTCCGCTGAAACCGATGTTTGGGAAGTAACGATGTCTTGTCACCTTCCAAAAATCAGCCCTTAGTCTCTCCACCGAGCAGCCAGACCTCACCTGTGCCAAAAACAAATTTCCATGCCATGGAGGAGCTGGTCAAGAAGGTGACGGAAAAGGTGGCCAAAGTGGAAGAGAAAATGAAGGAACCGGAGGAGAGGTTTTCTCCGATCAAGCGAGCGACGCCGTCCCCCAGCGGAAGCGAAATCAGCGAACCTCTGAAGCCCGATGCTTTGAGCGAAGTTGTATTTAAAAGCCAGCAAAACAGTCCGGCTCCACAAAAAGACAACTGCAAAGAGAGCCCCGCCCTGGAGCCAGAAGTAAATGGCAAGGACCACGTCAAGTCCATCATTGGCAGCTTAAGTAGCAGTACGGCTATAATAACAGACCACCCTCCCGAGCAACCTTTTGTCAACCCGTTAAGCGCGTTGCAGTCGGTTATGAACATCCACCTCGGCAAGGCGGCTAAGCCATCCCTACCGGCTTTGGACCCAATGAGCATGTTGTTCAAAATGAGTAACAGCTTGGCAGAAAAGGCCGCCGTAGCCGCGTCGCCCATCCAAGCCAAAAAAACCGACCACCTAACAGACCGTTATTTTTATCATGTCAACAATGACCAGCCCATAGATTTGACGAAAGGGAAGAGTGACAAAAACTGCTCTCTGGCTTCAGCGCTTTTGTCATCCACGTCGTCGTCTACCGCATCTTCTTCATCTACAGTGACAACGGCAAAGACATCTGCAGTCGTGTCATTCATGTCAAACTCACCGCTGCGCGAGAATGCCTTGTCAGATATCTCTGATATGCTGAAGAACCTGACAGAAAGCCACACATCAAAATCTTCTACACCTACCAGCATATCTGAGAAGTCTGACATTGACGGCACCACAATAGAAGAACCGGAGGAAAACACGCCGGCTCAGAAGAGGAAAGGGCGACAGTCCAACTGGAATCCGCAACACTTGCTCATCCTGCAAGCCCAGTTCGCGGCAAGCTTGCGGCAGACCTCGGAGGGGAAGTTCATCATGTCTGACTTGAGCCCTCAAAGAGAGAATGCACATTTCCCGGTTTACGGGACTCTCCATGACCACCATCAGCCACTGGCTGGCCAATGTAAAAATACCAGCTGCGAAGGACAGGTGGGACAAAGTTCCTCAAGAACTTAGACACGGGGCACCCGGTGTTTTTTTTGTAACGACTGCGCCTCGCAAATCAGGACTCCCTCCACCTACATCGGCCATCTTGAATCCCACTTAGGTTTTAGACTAAGGGACTTATCCAAACTGTCCAATGAACAGATACATAACCAGATAGCACAAACCAAGTCCCCCTCCGAAAAGCTAACGGCCTCCTCTCCCGAAGACGAGACCGGCTCCTCCTACCAGTGCAAGCTTTGCAACCGGACATTTGCAAGCAAGCACGCCGTGAAACTTCACTTGAGTAAAACACACGGGAAGTCCCCGGAAGATCATCTTCTGTACGTGTCGGAGATGGAGAAGCAGTAGCATTTGATTTTTTTTATTATTATTATTATTATTAGAAAATTGACTGTAATTTGCTTTGAGGAAAACTGTCAGGAAAAAGCCTTAAAGCTGAAAAAAAAAAAAAAAAAAAAAAATTAAGAACTTGGCACACGTTCCTATTTTAGCTCCGGAGAGTTCCTCTGGGGTGGGGGGTGCGAACTTGTTTTGTAAAATGTATAGCATTTAATGGAGGTGCATAATCAGCTCTTGTTACAGGTTACCTATGAAGGTTTTAGCGCCCCGATACGAGTTTGGAAACTTGGAAATTGGATAAAGCTGTGCGCCGGCTGCATGAATTAAGAGACAATTTATTTAAGCATTTCTATCTTTAAAATCTGGTACACTATTTTTCATTTTGACCTGTGTACTGGTATTTTTCAGCAAATGAACCTTTAGCCCTCTGAGTACTTTGGAGCACTATTTTATGTTAATTGGGGAATATTCCTTTTTTTTTTTTTTTTTTTTTCTATTTATTTGTTTTCTAAAAAAAAAAAAAAAAAATGCTGGCTCAGATTCGCTTTGAAACTGGTTCTAGAACTGCGGTCTTCTTTGATACTGAAATAGTTAAGACATCCACTGGGACCTTTTTGGTTTGCCATCCCGTGACCAAGCAAGGATTAAAACTGTGTATATAATGTACAAAACTTGCATTTTGGAGATTGTGATTGACGTTTTAAGGCAACTTGCCCTACCCACCCTTGGCATTTTTAACTGGTGTTTTTTTTTTTTCAGTATCTGATGCAGTATACCCATTTTACATAAACTGTGCCTATGTATAGTGTAAAAAAAAAATCATTTTTTAATGAACCTATTGAATGACAGAAAATTAATGTTTTTGCTTTTTGTTCTTTGCAACTGACTTTCTTTTTTGTTTTTTTGTTTTTTTTTTTTTTTTTTTTTTAACACCCAAGCATTGTAAATTATTCAAAGGATGCAACAAAAAAAAATCTTTATAAAATATTCAAAAAAACTATTATTCTAAAACAAAAAATATAATTGTTAGACTATACATCTATATTGTTAAAAGTTCATGTTTAAATTATGCATATTTATTAGCGATGTCATTTCATTTGTTTCCAGTAATAACTGAAGTCACAAGCCACACGGATATGTAATTGGCACTGTTTCATTTTTAATTTTTTTTTCTTTTGCACAAAATTACTTTTTTTTTTTTTTTCCGTTTTTTCTTTTTTTTTTTTTTTTTTTTTTTTTTAAAGAAAATGTATTTATTATTATGAAACGATGATTACTTAAACCATTCTCAGTGCTCAAAGGGTTAAAAAAAAATTTGGATAAATAAAAGTGTACTGTATTTCCTGAGAATTGCTAATGCTTTAAAATGGAAAAAAAAAATAAAATAAAAACTGTTTATACTTAAAGTAAAACTTTGGTTAAAATAGGCATTCTGTAGTATCACCTTTTTGTTTGCATATTCATTTTCCCAGGGATTATATTTCGTATCGTAGAATTTTTTTTTTTTTTTTTGTTTTTTATTGCTTTTTGTAAGTTGATTTTTTTTTTTTTTGTCTAATTATCCTCCCAACATCCCATTCTTCAGCTTTATCTTAAGGCATATGAAAGGTAACCCGTGGTTACCAGCTCACTAAGTGATTCTGTTCCTCTTCATTTTTGGCAGTTAATTTGCAGAAATAACTGACAGCTGACACCATACAGGGAAAATTGTGTATAAAATATTGGCATGTAAACAGCACAGAGACGGTAATGTACTCTGTGTCCTTTTTTATTGTTGACATTGAAATACTATTATAGGATTCTTCATATAACATTTTTTTTTTCCTACGGAAACATTAAAATTAATTTTTTTTTCATTTGCTATATAATCTCGTGTCACTCTAGCAATAACGGTTGAAACATTATAAAATGAACGATCTCGTTATATATTTATACCGTCTTTACATCTTAACCCCCATTTAAAAAAAAAAAAAAAAACTCTTCCAAACCTTGAATAAATGACGGGAATTAAAATTTATGTAAATTTAACCGTCTCCCGCCCGCCGTATAGTAAAATGACGGCCGTAAGGCGGTTCTCTCGTTCTGGGAGGCGGTCATATGACGTCCTCCCGCGGCTCCGGACACAGCGGATCACCGGTTCACGGAAAGAGCCGGAGATGTCGGCTCGGTCATGTGATCAGCTGTATCCAATCACAGCTGATCGCATGTAAACAGGGAAATGCCGGTTATCGGCATTTCTCTCCCCACGAGCTGTCACGCTGACAGAGGAGAGGAGAGGAGAGCCGGTAATCGGCATTCCTCGGAGGGGACATCTACACTGATCATTAGGGCACTGATGATCTGTGTAGCCCCAGCCAGGGGCGGACTGACAAGTCATGGGGCCCCCGGGCAATAGGGGATCATGGGGCCCCTGTGTCCTTGTCCAAACTCAAAAAAGCCTAAGAAAAAGGTACCAGGGGCATCTCATGGGGCCCCCTACTGATCCTGGGCCCTCGGGCAGTGCCAGAGTTTCCAAATGGTCAGTCCGCCTCTGGCCCCAGCAGCTCCACCTGTCAGTGTCCATCAGTGCCAGCTCTCAGTGCTCATCCATGCCACCTGCCAGTGCCCATCAGTGCCACATTTCAGTGCCCATCAATGCCACATATCAGTGCCTTTCAGTGTCACCCATCATTGCCAGTCAGCGCCGCCTATCAATGCCAGTCAGTGCCGCATATCAGTGTCAGTCAGTCAGTGCCACCTATCAGTGTGCATCAGTGCTGCCAGTCAGTGCCACCTAACAGTGCCAGTCAGTGCCACCTATCAGTGTGCATCAGTGCTACTTGCCAGTGCCCGTCAGTGCCGCATATCAGTGCTAGTCAGTGCCACCTAACAGTGCCAGTCAGTGCCGCCTATCAGTGCCGTATATGAGTGCTGCCTTTCAGTGCCCATCAGTGATGCCTTTCAATGCCCATCAGTGCCACCTACCAGTGCCTCCTCATCAGTGCCCATCAGTTCCACCTATCAGTGCCATATATGAGTGCTACCTTTCAGTGCCCATCAGTGATGCCTGTCAATGCCCATCAGTGCCACCTACCAGTGCCTCCTCATAAGTGCCCATCAGTGCCACCTATCAGTGTCCATCAGTGCAGCCTATCAGTGCCCATCACTGCAGCCTCATTAGCGCACATCAGTGAAGGAGAAAAAAATCACTGATTTACAAAATTTTATAACAAAAACTAAGAAAAAACTTTTTTCAAAATTTTCAGTGGTTTTTGGTTTGTTTAAGAAAAAATAAAAATCCCCGAGGTGATTAAACACCACCAAAATAAAGCTCCATCTGTCACAAAAAAATGATACAAATTTCATATGGGTACAGTGTTGCATGACCGCGCAATTGTCACTCAAAGTGCGACAGCGCTGAAAGCTGGAAATTGGCCTGGACAGGAAGGGGGTAGAAGTACCCTGTAGGCGGGAAGGGGGTAGAAGTGTCCAGTAGGTGGGAAGGGGGTAGAAGTGCTCTGTAGGCAGGAAGGGGGTAGAAGTGCCCGGTAGGCAGGAAGGGGGTAGAAGTGCCCGGCAGGCAGGAAGGGGGTAGAAGTGCCCTGTAGGCAGGAAGGGGGTAGAAGTGCCCGGTAGGGCAGGAAGGGGGTAGAAGTGCCCGGTAGGCAGGAAGAGGGTAGAAGTGCCCTGTAGGCAGGAAGGGGGTAGAAGTGCCCGGTAGGCAGGAAGGGGGTAGAAGTGCCATGTAGGCAGGAAGGGGGTAGAAGTGCCCGGTAGGCAGGAAGGGCGTAGAAGTGCCCGGTAGGCAGGAAGGGCGTAGAAGTGCCCGGCAGGCAGGAAGGGCGTAGAAGTGCCCGGCAGGCAGGAAGGGGATAGAAGTGCCCGGCAGGCAGGAAGGTGGTAGAAGTGCCCGGCAGGCAGGAAGGGGGTAGAAGTGCCCGGCAGGCAGGAAGGTGGTAGAAGTGCCCGGCAGGCAGGAAGGGGGTAGAAGTGCCCGGCAGGCAGGAAGGGGGTATGAGTGTCAGGTAGGCAGGCACCCAAATGAAAACTGACCCTGACCACTTTTTTTTTTTTACTGTACATTTATTTACAGCAGGGGGGTCTCCAAACTTTCTAGAAAAAGGGCCGGTTCACAGTTCTTCAGGCTTTATAGGGGCCACACTGACCAGCGGGAGTTGGTTTTAACTGTAGAAATAGTGCCCCGTTGTTGGTGTCAGTGGGAAGAATAGTGCCCCATCAGTGGTGTCAGTGGAAAAAATCGTGCCCCATTATTAGTGTCAGTGGGAAGAATAGTGTCCCATTATTGGTGTCAGTGGAAGGAATAGTGCTCGATCATTGGTGTTAGTGGGAGGAATAGTGCTACATCATTGGTGTCGGTGGGATAAAGGGTGCCCAATCAGTGGTGTCAGTGAGAGGAATAGTGCCCCATTGTTAGTATCAGTGGGAGGAGTAGTGCCACATCATTGGTATCAGTGGGAGGAATGGTTCCCCATCATTCTCATTGAGAGTAATAGTGCCCCATTGTTGGTGTCAGTGGGAGGAATGGTTCTCCATCATTGGAATCATTGGGAGGAATAGTGCCTCATCATTGGTGTCAGTGGGAAGAATAGTGTCCCATTATTGGTGTCAGTGGAAGGAATAGTGCTCGAACATTGGTGTCAGTGGGAGAAATGGTGCCCCACCAGTGGTGTCAGTGAGAGGAATAGTGCCCCATTGTTGGTGTAAGTGGGAGGAGTGGTGCCCCATCAGTGGTGTCAGTGAGAGGAATAGTGCCCCATTGTTGGTGTCTCTGGAAGGAATTGTGCCCCATCATTGGTATCAATGATTCCCCATCATTGGTGTCAGTGGGAGGAATAGTGCCCCATCATTGGTGTCAGGGGGAAGAATAGTGCCCCATCATTGGTATCTCTGGGAGGAATGGTTCTCCATTGTTGGTGTCTGTGGGAGGAATAGTGCCCCATCATTGGCGTCAGTGGGAGGAATAGTGACCCATCACTGGTGTCAGTGGGAGGAATAGTGCCCAAAGGGCTGGATAAGGGCAAGCAAAGGGCCACATCCAGCCCCCAAGCCACAATTTGGAGACCACTGGTCTAGACCAGTCTTTCTCAACCTTTTCAACTTAGAGGAACTATTGAAGTAACTTTCTGGGTCTCAGGAAACCCCTGACAACACTATATCAATAGCTCACAGTACGTAAGTGTGATGGTCACTGGGAAGGATGTTCCTTAAATTTGTGGTCAATGGGAAGGATGTCAATGGTGCTCCAGATGAGCAAGGACAAGGAGAAAAAGAGCAATAAAAAGCCACGAGAGATCCTTTCAAGGGTTGTATTCAGTTGTACACATGACAAAAGTATGGCAGAAAAGGTTTCTGGATACCCACCCAGCGTACTGTCTCCAGGTGATTGCACTTGATACTCATTGGGGTTTTCCAGAAATTCTTGCTAAGCTGTGATCAGATCCGGGGGGACAATGGAAAGGATATGGCCCCAAAATAGAACCAGTGTGTGGCCAGCAGAGGCACCCAGTCAATAAAAAGGCTTCTTCCAGGTGGATTCTTCGAGAAGGTTGATATTTTTGTAACCCTAAAAATGGGCTAAAACAATTTATGATGTAATTTGTTTGTTATGGTCAGTAGTAAGGATGCGCCCCTCACTGATAACTAAAAAGATCATTGGTGTCAGTGGGAACTTATCTGAAAGGCAGAAATTGCTCAAGGAACCTTTAGAGGAACCTAAGGCTTCCATGGAACCCTGGTGGAGAAAGGCTGATATCAAGTTAATATCTCTCATCTTCAGCAATACATTTCATCTCCACCACAAATACACTGAACAACTGCCACATGGACTTATAAATTAGAGGTGATCTGTGCCTTAATGTGCTGCTAATCTCCTTAACCCAGTGTTTCTCAACTCCAGTCCTCATGGACCCCCAACAGGTCATGTTTTCAGGATTTCCATTATTTTGCACAGGTGATTTGATCAGTTTCACTGCCTTAGTAATTACCACAACTGTTTCATTGAGGGAAATCCTGAAAACATGACCTGTTGGGGGTCCATGAGGACTGGAGTGAGAGAAACACTGCCTTAACCCCTTGGTGCCGGCGCCTCCCGGCCCTTTAAGGGTTTCAGAAGCTGGGAGGCGGGGTTTAGGGTCATGTGACAGCCGTGACACGCCACCATGGTGGTCACATGATTGGGAAAGCTCTCGATCAAAAGAGGAGATCGGGACCTTTCCGTGAGTACCAAACATGTGTGCTGGGAGCGCGCAATAGAATGCAAATCTGCGGCCGCTTGGCGTCTAGGCCCAGACGCCAGGAGGCCGCACATTTGCATTCGGCCGGCGCCAAGAGGTTAAAGTAGAATTATAGCCAAAACTTTTTTTTTTTTCCATTTTGGATAGAGTAATGGAGGGTTATAACCCTTGTCAGATTTTTTTTCCCCCATCTACGTCCTATTGTGAAGGTTTCCCTTCACTTCCTGTCCCATAGCCAAAACAAGAAGTGAGAGGAAATCCATGCAACAGGGAGCACCGACCTTCATAAGTCAATGTCCCAAAATACATTGTCCTGTGTACATTGGGAGCTGTGCAACTGGTGCTATTCTGACCACGTCTGCTAATTCATCATGGACAGCAAGTTAGAACAAAGAGCAAACGTGAAATTCTGCTTAAAATTGGGCAAATCCGCCACAGAGACGTTCGAATGACTAATACCGGCATTGCAATTGCCAAATCATTTCAAAGTGTTTTGAGTGGCAGAAGAACATCAATGGAAGACAAGATCAGATCAGGAAGACCTTCGACGAGCTCTGGTTCTGGGAGGACTTTTATAGATGCCCCTGCCAGAACTGGACCACCATGCTGAAGCCGTTTTTTGGCTATAGCGAGGTAAAAACAACCATGACCATCGTAAGCTCCACCGGCATTGCTTGAGGGTTCATCCCAATTCTGTAGCAGCAACTTTTACAGGGCAATTTGGTCTATAACAGGGGTCTCCAAACTATGACCCTCCAGCTGTTGAAGTACCACAAGTCCCATCATGCCTCTGAGATTCTTGCCTGTGGATGTCAGAGTCTTGCAAGGCCTCATGGGACTTGAAGTTCCTCAACACCTGGAGGGCCGTAGTTTGGAGAGAGCCCTGGTCTATAAGGAAGTAGAAAACCAATGGATCAACTTAAAGGATCAACAGGTTAGAAAACCATGATTGTTGGAAAACTAAACAATTCCGCGTTCACGCCCTGTGACAGACCGCGACATTTGTGTGATTTTCGCCCAAAGATCCACTTTAGGTATAGAATGATTGTTCTTCGCCAGTATATAGGACACCGTCCTAAATAAAGAGTTACAGTGAGCAGTAGAATTTAAAGCAGACCTAAAAAACTTTACTAGTCTTTTCTTTTTTTACACCCAGTTCTCATTTCCAGATGCTCATAGAGTCAGTCATTGTTGTTGGATGCTCCATAGTGACAGCGCTCCCCCCCCCCCCCAATCATAGCTACTACCAGGAATATCAAGGGCCAATCCGGGACGAATCAAGTGCTGGAAGAATATATGAAAATGTTTGGCGTTGATAAAAATGAGTTGTAAAAATCTTGAGGGTTTGGGTCCCAGATGTGGCCCTTTGAGTGCCTTTTTCTCTGTGCCCTTGAGGCACCACTCCTCCTATGCCTCGTGTTTGGTGTCAGTAGGAGAAACCTTGTAATAGTGTTAAAAGGTGTCTCCTACTGACACCAACAATGAGGCAGCATTTCTTCCACGGACACCAACAGTGACACATAATTCCTCCCACTTCCACTGACACCAGCAATGGGCACTATTCCCCCAATTTATCACCAATGATGGGGCACTATTCCCCCAATTTATCACCAATGATGGGGCACTATTCCCTCAATTTATCACCAATGATGGGGCACTATTTCCCCAATTTATCACCAATGATGGGGCACTATTCCCCAATTTATCACCAATGATGGGGCACTATTTCCCCAATTTATCACCAATGATGGGGCACTATTCTCCCAATTTATCACCAATGATGGGGCACTATTCTCCAAATTTATCACCAATGATGGCGCACTATTCTCCCAATTTATCACCAAATGATGGGGCACTATTTCCCCAAATTTATCACCAATGATGGGGCACTATTCCCCCAATTTATCACCAATGATGGGGCACTATTCCCCAATTTATCACCAATGATGGGGCACTATTCCCCAATTTATCACCAATGATAGAGCACTATTTCCCCAATTTATCACCAATGATGGCGCACTATTCCCCAATTTATCACCAATGATGGGGCACTATTCCCCCAATTTATCACCAATGGTGGGTCACTATTTCCCCAATTTATCACCAATGATGGGGCACTATTCCCCAATTTATCACCAATGATGGGGCACTATTCCCCAATTTATCACCAATGATAGAGCACTATTTCCCCAATTTATCACCAATGATGGCGCACTATTATTTATCACCCCCCCAATTTATCACCAATGGTGGGTCACTATTTCCCCAATTTATCACCAATGATGGGGCACTATTCCCCAATTTATCACCAATGATGGCAACATGGCACCAATGATACTATTTCCCCCAATTTATCACCAATGATGGGCACTATTCCCCAATTTATCACCAATAATGGGGCACTATTCCCCCCCCCAATTTATCACCAATGGTGGGTCACTATTTCCCCAATTTATCACCAATGATGGGGCAACTATTCCCCCAATTTATCACCAATGGTGGGTCACTATTTCCCCAATTTATCACCAATGATGGGGCACTATTCCCCCAATTTATCACCAATGATGGGGCACTATTCCCCAATTTGATCACCAATGATGGGGCACCAATGATGGGGCATTCCCCAATTTATCCCAATGATGGGGCATTTCCCCAATTTATCACCAATGATGGGGCACTATTCCTCCCACAGACACCAACAGTAAGGCACTATTCCTTCAACTAATATCAGTGATGGGGAGATATTTCTCCCCTACTCACCACAGGTGCTATGTGATTGTCTTCCTCCCAAGGACGAAGCCTTGTTTCTCCTACTAACGAAGA